CATCGAATAGGCAATCTTGTTACGCCAACTGAGCCATCCTGCCACCTGTTGGCAGCTCAGCGACAGCTCAGGCGCAGCATCACTGGCCCATGTGGGAATCAAACCGGTGGCCCTGTTGCTCAGAGCTCATGCTCTTAAGCCAACTCTTAACCAACTGAGCCACTCAGCCAGCCCCTGTATACATTTTTTTGGGCACCCTCTGTATATCTTGTTTCAGGAAAAATGGACACAGAACACTATGTCAAGTTACATCCTAATTAAGTTATTTAACTTCAAGGGTAAATGATCCTTCAGACTTTTAGGCAGGAAAAGCAAATCACTCAACTGGTCATCTGTTTATCCTGTTGCCAAATATTTCCAGCCTCTGAGTTTGGAGCACACAGCAGGAACCAGAATTGCACTTTCTGACCTTTTGTGGTTGTGTGGAGCCATGTGACTAGTTCTGGCCAATGCATTGTGAGCAGAAATGATTGTCTCTTTATTGCCAGGGTATTTAATTGCCAGTGAGAGAGCCTCCTCAGCACCCTTTGCCTCTCCCTTGGCAACCAGCAGTGTTCCATACTGGCAGCTTCATCAGCCGTGGTCCAAAGCTATAGTAAGAGCAAAATACAGAGGGTGCCAAAAAAAAATGTGTACACATTTTAATAAAGGAAAGAACTGTTAAAATTTTAATACTCAATGTACACTGATAACAAAAGATGAATGCAAGTCATGTGTATACATTTTTTTGGCATCCCCGGTATACAAGTGATAGGGTAAGTTATAAGAATGTTAGTTTCTGTTGATGGTATAGTGATGAGTATAGCTGCCTTCCAAGAATGTTAATTTTCTCATTTTTCATAATCCAATATAGATAAAATTGAAACATAGAGTTAAAAATTCCAACTTACGGGTGGTGAACACACAATACAATATACAAATGATGTATTATAGCATTGTACACTTGAAACATATAATTTTACTAACCAATGTCACCCCAATAAATTTAATACAAAATTTTAAAAATAGGAAAAAACAAAACAGAACAAAAAAATAAAATAAATTTTAAAAAAGAAAAAAAAAACTCCAACTTACTAAATTTTTTCATAATCTTAATTGGGTTCTTACAGAAACAATCTGATTAAAAATAATTAATCCAAGTTCATCTATTTTTTTCAGTTCTTTAGTTTTTTTCTTTTTCATTTTGATTTCATTGTCATGCAGATAATAAAATTAATATTATCCTATTTTTAGATTATATCTATTCTAGTGTCTGAATATGTATGTGTAGTACATTTTGTACATGAAGAGATATTTAGAAAAATGTCCTAATGTTAATTAATAGTAATTTCTAGGTAACTGAACTTTTAGGAATCTATGTGCTTTTTTGTTTTGTTTTTAACTTCTGTGTTTTTTGTACTTTATGATGTTTCCTGAATTATAAGCTGGGGGAAGGTGGGGGTGGGAGATGGATAATAGGAATAAGTGGAAATGGGCTGAAGTAGAGGGTTCAAGAAAAACCTTCAGATGGGTATTTGACAACCAGAGACCAAGTCCAGACGAGAATGATGAGGGTGACTTGTCCAAGGTCACACAGCTGGTAATTGGCAGAACTGGGACTCAAGCCCACTTGAATCCAAAAGAGTTCAATCTTAACCCCTAAACGTCACACTCCAACACATATCTCCTGAGCCTGGTCTCCCTCCCAGCATGCAGTGAGGCTGGCTAGCCCCATGCCACCTTCTATCCCAAACTCCCTCTTGTCAAGGCAGTTACTAAACAGCGCTCCTTTCTGGCAAAGGGAGTCAGAGGGGAGTAATGTGGATAGGACCGCCTCTGCCCTGCCCCTATGCTCACCTGAGGAGTCTTGCCCACAGGGTGCCAGGTGAATAGGTGAGGCGCCATTGACAACCACCTCCCCTATGAAGGGCGACAGGTGAATGGTCACTTGGATGTGGGTATGTGTATCTTTAGTCCTGGAGTTTCTTGTTTTTCAGCCACTTGGCACAGTCTCTTCCTCTGCCCTCCGATGTGAATCGCCCCCGAATTGACCTGATTGTGTTCGTGGTCAACCTTCACAGCAAATACAGGTGAGAGTGAGAATCCACAGGCATCCCAAACTCCTATAAAGGTTGCTGGGCTCAGGTGGACCTGGCTTAGGGGTGTGCTGGGACGGTGCCCTTACTAATGGGAAGGAGAGGAAGCAGGGAGAGGCTGCCTGGGGTTAATCTAGAGGGTGAGGAGGAAGTCAGTGGCCAGTGCAAGGTGTTTCAAAGACGCTGATGAATCCCAGCAGTGTCATCTGTCACTTAGCTAATGCTCTCTGAGGCCTACTCTATATCCCTGACAGCAGGCACAGAGATGAATGGAATAGACCCCTGCCCTCAACGTGCTCCTGGTCCGCTGGGGGAGGAGGCGAGCCTTTTGAACACAGAAGGAAGTGTTGGGCTGTGAGAGCCCAAACAAGACCTCTGACCCTTGGGACTGAGGTCAGGGTATACTTTCTGGTAGAGAAGGAGCTAGCCAGGTAAAGATGGGAGTGAGCAGAATGTTCCAGGTGAAGAGTTAATGTAAAGGGTTTAGTGTGTTTAGAGGACTATTAAGGCCTGTGCAAGGTCAGGAGGCCAGTCCAGTGTGGGACTGTGGCAGTGGCAGCATGAGTGCTAGTGATTGTTTGGGCCCCGCCTGGCCTCCCTGTGGTGCTGGCGTCCCTGCCGACAGGACTACAGCACAGAAGAAAGGTCTGCCCTCTCCCTCGTGGCGGCTGACTGAGGTTAGGCAGGGCACAGGGTCCAGCACAGAAACCAGCGCAGACACCTGGTCATGGTGCGGGTTAAAGGGAGGCTGTGGTAGAAACACCTGGGAACCCAGGGGCATCGAGACGCCAGATACATGTAGCATCAGAGTTAAGTCCAGACTCACCACCTGACTGGTTGCAACTAGTCAACAGTGACTTAGGCCCATGGCGGGGCTGAGTGAGGGCCGAGCTCTGCCGTGCTGGCCAGAGGGCCCTGGCTCAGCAGGCATGTTGCTCTCTGGGTGGGGCCTCTCTTCACCAGAAGGGACACGGGCTGGTCTCCGCGAGATCCTGTTCCGCAGCCACACTTAAGGGCGGGGCTCCCCTTGCCATTGGCCGTGTTCGTTCAGGCTGAAACCTTGGCTTGGGACACCTGACCAGGATGGCTTTTTGGCCAGGAGACAATAGATTCCTTCATCACTCACTCCGTGGACACCACTGAATGAAAGCCTTGTCCCGGAAGGTCAAGGTGCCCTTGTCTAAATACTGTAACTTCATTGGAAAGCAACTTGGCAATGCCCACATACACTTTAAAAGACATACTGTGATGCAGCCATCCTACTGCCCCACAGAAACATTTGCTTGGATGTGGAAGGAATGTGTAAACGAACGTTCATGCAGCTCCTTTGTAATGGCGCAGAACTGGAGACCACAGAAATGCCCGTCATTAGGAAACGGTGCAGCTATGTTCGTTCCAAAGACTATAATAGATGCATGGAACCCAACTAAACCCAACTAGATGCTATCACTGTCTATTCACATGTGAAAAAATCTAGAAGAATGACACCCTAAACTGTGGGCAGCAGTTACCTCTGCGGAGTTGACTGAAGGGTGGTGGTGAAGAGGGGGACTTTTTTGCTTATGCACCCATGTTTACTTTTTGATTATTTTGCAGGCTTGAGTCACTTTGTAATTAAAAGTAGTTTTGAAACAATGAAAGGATAAAGTATTCCTCTGGGGCAGTTTCCTTTCCCTCGCTCCTCTGGCCTCTGGGAAAGGCCGTGCCTTCTCTGTTGTAAGGTTTGTCCTCTGGTTTGTTTTCTGCCCTGGCCTGGCCACCCCCCCCCAGCCTTCAGAATGTGGAGAAGTCCTTGCACCATGTGGATGCCACCTTCTTCCTGGGGAAGGTGGGCTTCCTCGCCACAGGCGGTAAGTACACCCCTGTCCTGCTGCTGCCCACCCCCGACTGCAGGCAGCTGTGGTGGGCGCTGCCGCAGGCTCCTTGCTGAGGTGGCCTAGGTGATGGGAAGAACAGGGACTCAGACTCTGGTGTCTGATGTGTTGTCAGCCTTTCTGACAGTGCAGCCGAGCAGGTCCTTCTGCTGAGACCATGGCTTACAGTTGCCTGGTGGTTCCCTGCGGATCTGGAGTAAAATCCAAACTCCTGTAAAGGCACAGCGTGGTTTGCAGCTTGGCAGTTATCTCAATTTTATAGCTGAGAAAACTGTGGTTATGAGGTTAAGTAACTTTCCTAAGGCCCCATAGCTAAAAAGTGGTAGATTCATACCTAGATAGTCATATTCCTGAGCTATATGGCTTCCCGAGTACTTTCTTCCTCGTGTGGGTCTAGCTAACCCCTTTTGTCAGCATCCTGGGGGAAGCCCCCTGACCAGTCCTGCAGTCTGGCCCTCGGAGTACCCATCTTATGGGCCTCTGTCAGAGACTCCCCACCCGTCACCTACACCCATGGTGTGTCTGACCTGTCTGGCCCCGAGCTGAACTGCAAGCTCCTTTTGGGGAGGGCCTGGCACAGATTATTCTCCGTGAGCTGGTGAACAAATGAATGGCAGGTCATTTCTATATCGATTCACTGAGTCTGATGGTAACTCAGTGGGTTCGGAGCTGTTACGCTCCTCATTTTATAGATTCGGAAACTCCTGTTTTTGTAGAGCAGTGTCACAAAGCCCTCCCAGCCTCATTTTCTAATGTGATGATCTTGACTGCCCTGAAAAGAAGATAGAGCAGGGTTGTCACCCCACTGACTAGTCAGAAACCGAGGCCCAGGGAGGTGAAGTGAGGCACTTCGCCTGGTGCTCCCTAAACTGCAGCCATGAAGGTAGAGGTCAGCCCGCAGCACTCACGGTGGCTTCTTTGCAGCGGGGCAGGACAGCCACTGCAGCGTTCACCAGAACACCGTGCTGAAGCTGGCCCACACCTACCAGAGCCCCCTGCTCTTCTGCGACCTGGAGGTGAGGACACCCGTTGTGCGGGTGTGGGGGAAGGACAGTCAGCACACAGGCGTCGTGTCTGCAGTGCTTCTTAGAGGATCACTGAGTACCGAGTGGGGGTGTCCTGGTTTGAATCCTGGCGTTTCCACTCACTGGCTGACTTGGGTGGGTCCCCCTAAGCCTTGGGTACACAAACATGAAGTGGGGTGATGACATACATTTGTCTTGAGTACCACTTACCTGCCAGGTGCTAGCACTTGTTACCTTGCTTTTTGTTTTGTTTTCTCTCTATTTGTAAGTCTTGTATTGGTGGGTTTGTTAACATCTCGCTCTCCTGCGGGCGGCAGTGCCATGAGGCCTGGCATCCCTTCTGTCTCATTAACCGGTGTGTCCTCATGTCCCCGGCAGTCAGGATGCCCACTGCCTCCTTACCTCCCTTTTTGTAGGCTTTGTCCAGTCCCAGTCCGGGCAGGACACCCAGGAGGCAGCAGGAATGGATGTGGGTGGGTGTTGGGTGGATACTTGTGGTGTTGGTTCTGCCCTGACTGGCTTCTGTTGGTGTTTCTCTCTAATTGTGGGTGTACCAGACAGGTTTCTGTTTTGCTGCTAAGCTTTGCTCTTCAGCCTGTCCTTCTACACTATGAAACTACGGCCTTAGTACTAATGGCGTTCTGCTAACGGGTCCTCAACAGGAGTTGATGCTGCTCCCTCTGGGAGGTCTGCGGAGGGCTTCCAGGGCCCAGGCTGCCGCACCCATGCACCAGGCCTGCTCAGTTGGTTTCAGGGTCTGTTTATCGGTTTGGAGGTTCATTTTGAAGATTTGTGTCTCCGCAGTGTTCTGGCTCTTGCACCTGTTCCCAAAGGAAATGTGATGTAATGCAGAGAGAACTGAGTCGACAGGCGGTCTCTCACTACCATCCGACCAGGGGTTCTTACTCGGGGGCTGGAGACTGTAGAATTCAGGGGACCTGTGAACTTGGGCAAGAGAAAAAATTACAGCTTTTTTTTTGTTACTAACCTCTAAGTGAAATTTAGCATTATAACTATAGGCAAGAGATGTCGTTAGTATTAGCAGAATCTGACCATTGCCAATAGAAATGGCAGGTGTTGCCAGGTCACATGAGGACTGGGCCGGTGTCATTAGCCCAGCATTAGGCGGGCCCCAGATCTCGTCCATGCCTCATACAGATGCTCATACTGCTCTCTCACAGATGCGTTTTTCATATTGGATGACTTGTTTTAAGAACCCCTGACTAGACCAACGCTCTGATCTTACAGCTAAGAGGCCCGGGGCACGCCTGAAGTGCCTGCCCCGCCAGAAACCCATGACTCTGAGAAGAGGCGACTTGCCGACAGTCACATGCCTCATATGTAAGAGGTAGAGCCAGCAGGTTGTTACACCCATTGTAACCTGCTGACTGTGGCTTGAAACCAGTCACACATACACACCCCGCAATGCTGCCTTAGCCTTCTTACCTCTAAAGGAGAATCAATTTTTGCTCCACAGTTCAGCTGCATGTGGGTGGCCATATAGTGGGCCGTGGTGCCATTCTGTGTGTGGCCAGTAGGTGGCAGGCCATACCAGGTCCTGGGTTACCCTGGAGCCTGAGAACTCACCAGAAAAGGTGGTGGCAGGTTGTCTGTTTCAGCCAGCAGCAGGCCTGCTGAGAGCATAAACCTGGCATCTTTCAGACGAAGCGCCCAGTGTTTGGACCATCATCACTGCTCGTACCCGTGTTGTCCTGTTCAGGGCACTCTCTTCCACACAATCGAGTTGAAGCCGCTCCCTATTTTGAGACCTTTGCATGGCAGGCGTTATTGCCCATTGTACACATAAAGAAACCCACTAGGCGAGGTAGGGGATTCACCCAGTGAAATTATTTCCTAGCTCTGCTGACAGGGCCCTGTGCTGGTCCCTGAGAACACAAATGAGTCAGACCTTGGCCCTGCCCTCCCAGAATCCAGTGACAGAACGACATGTAGCCTACGCAGCAGAAAGATCTCTAGAGCTTTAGGAGCCTGGCAGTGGAACCAAGTCATTCCTTCCTGTAGGTGACAGAGGCAGTCGCGATGTGGTCAGACTTGGGTTGGGGCCACATCTCTGGAGTATGATGTGTGGCATGGGGAGGCCTGGCCAGAGGCACGAGGCAGCTGGCGAGCCTGAGTGAGAGCAGCAGCACGGAGGCATATTTCAGAGGATTTATTCGACAAATATTTCTACGTATCCACAGTGTGCCAAGTGCTGCTCTAGACACTAGAGATGCAGCATAGAACAAAACAGTTTAAAAAAAAATACCAGCTCTATTCTAGTAGAGGAAACAGACGTAGAATGTGTAACGTGTTAGCAAATGGGGCGTGACATGTTAGGTGATGGTAAAGCAGTAGGATTTACAGAGTGACAGGGGACAGAGTTCACTAAAAAAATGTGACCTTTAAGAAAAGTCTTAAAGGCAGTAAGAAGGCAAGCCGTGGAGGCTCTGGTGGAAAAGCACAGTAGGCAGGAGGAACAGCGAGTGCAAGGGCCCTGAGCTGGGGACTTGCCTGGTGTGTTCGAGGTCCCACAGGGACGCTTGGGTGGCCAGAGCAGAGCAAACAACGGACAGAGTAGTGGGAGATGAGTGACAGCGAGGCCAGATCAGCGGGGTCTTGTGGGTCGTCGTAAAGGCAGTGGCTTTTACTCTGAGTAAAACTGGAGCCACTGGAGGATGTGGGGTCAGGGAGGGACGTGGCCTGACTCGGGTTTTAAATGGATTCCTCCAGCTGTTGGGGGAAAGTATTGAGTTGTCGGAAAAGGCATGACATATTTTTTCTGTTTTTCGTTGCAAAAATACGTCATGACTTTTCCGACAACCGAATAGACTGAAGGGAAGCAAAGGCAGAAATAGGGAGATGGGTCCAGGGGCTATTTCTGGAAGCGTTAACAGTGGCCTAGACTCGGTGGGGTCTGGGGAAGAGGGAGAAGAGATGGTCTGCGGACTGGCTGTTTCGAGGGTGATGCCAACAGAATGTGCTGATGGCCTGGATCTGAGGCATGAGGATAAGGCGCCAAGGATGACTTGGGAGTTTCCGGACTTTGGCTGAGATGGGAACAAGCAGGTTTGGGGGACTCCCAGGGACTCTGTTTGGGACATGCTAAGTTAAGGTGTCTATTAGGTGTCTACACAGACATTAAGTAGGGAGCTGATGTGTCTGACATTCAGAGGAAAGGTCTGCAGATATAATTTGGGAGTTAAATGGTTTTAGAGCCATTGAACTGGATGAGGTCCCCTAGGGAGTGAGTGTGGGGAGAAGAGGTACAAAGGCCCTGGGGCTTCCAGCATTTAGATGTTGGACAAAGAAGAGGGAGCAGCCTGTGAGGTGGAGGAAAAGGTGGCCGAGTGTGGGGTCCTGGGAGCCAGGGAGAAAAAGCATTTCAAGGAAGGATGGAGGGGCTGCGGCGGATCCTGCTGAGACAAGAATCTTGGTGAGAATGAGCCTAGTGTGATGAGGACAGAGGAAGTGACAAGTGACAAATGGTGGGAGTAAGGAGGACTTGAGGATGCCCCAGTCTCTAGTTTGGGCGACTGGGCGGACAGTGACGCACCCCCTTCCCCAGTTACGGAGGGAGCAGAGGAAGGAGGAGGTGCTTCTGAGCCCCGAGGACATCTGGGCATCACTGTCTGTCCTTCAACAAACATTTATGGAGCGCCTCTTATTTGCTTGGCACTATCTGGCATCAAGCCCTAGAACAGCCTTGGTACCCCTTCCGAACGCGATAGCTCCTCGGGCCCAGTGGCCCTTCCTAAGCTCTGATAAAGAAGCTCTTTGTTGATGGCATCTCCCTGTCCCCAGGGAGGGCCACTCTCTGCCCACCCCTCCTTTCGTCCCTGTTAGGGTCCTTCTCAGACCCCTCTGCCTCCTGGGCATTGGTTGGGACTGGGCCTGGTTCAGATCCCAGCTCTGTGGTCACTAACTGTGTGACTCTAGACAGTTGACCTAACCTGGCCAGCCCTGTTGCTGAGCCTTTGTTTCCTCTGGAATAGGGATCATCGTGTCTGGTGTTTCTGGAGGGCGTTTGAAGGACTCCACAAGCTGAGGTGGTTGGAAGCTGCTTAGTGAAGTGTGCCGTGGACGAGGGCATGGCTGTGATGGGCTGTGGTGCGCTGAGCTGTCCCCAGCCCCCCTCGGGCAGACTGTGTGGTGACTGAGTAAGGGGAGCAGGGTTGCCGCTGGGCTGCTGCCTCACCGCTGCTCTCTGCTCTTCCTCTGCAGGTGGAAAGCTTCCGAGCCACCATGGCGCAGCGCCTGGTACGCATGCTGCAGATCTGCGCTGGTCACGTGCCGGGCATCTCGGCCCTGAACCTGCTGTCGCTGATGCGCAGCTCAGAGAACCCCTTCCTGGAGGACCTGTGAGGCCGTGGGGCTGCCCTGCCCACGGCCTGATCCCTGGTCGTCGGGACCATTCACTGTTGCTGAAGACCAAGTCAGGGCTTGACAGGCCCTGGGTCAGTGGTCACCTCCCTGCAGGACCCAAACTCCTCTGTGCTCCAGCCGGCAGTGCTTGGGACGGAGGAGCCCAGCTGGTGGGACCCGCTCACTCCCGCAGAGCCCTGTGTCTTTATCCATCTGACGCGTTCCATCTCCACTTAAGACTTCATTTGAACAAAGGGCCTGTGGCTAAAAACAGTTGGAAAATCATTGGTCTCATGCACCACTTTGATTTTGCTGATGAACTGACTCAGAGCAATTAGGAGTGGGGTGGGGGAGGGGCACTTGGCGCCCATGAGCTCCATCTGATTCCACGACCGACCGGGCTTTGCCGTTCTTAGAGAACCTGGTTGTTGCCTCTTGGAGCCTCAGTTTTCCCAGGTCAAAGTGAAGAACGTTATACTTTGTCTTGTGGGGACTGAATGAAATGACAGGTGAAGTGTCCGATTTATCAGGTGTTACCCCCTGCGTTTGCTTGTATGTTGATGGTTTCATCATAAGTTAATACCTCACACAGTGCCAGGTAAGCACTCAGTGAACAGTGACTATTATTTAAAATTACACAGAGCTAAGTTCAAAAACCGGCGTGAATCCAGGATTACACTGAATTCGTGTTTGTGAGAATTAAGTGAGAGAAGCTGGCGGAGGGCTGGTTTCCGGGTTGGCGGTGACAGGCTGTGCGCTGACCTTTGCCTTCTCCCTCAGGTCTAATTAGAGGTTGTGAAAGTGGCAGGATTGGAACCCAGAAATTCTGTCAGCCGGCTGGGGGCCCCTGCTGCTCCCCTGTGGCCTGCTGGGCACATCGGAGCTTGCGGGGGTGAATGGGAGGTCTGGTGGGAGGAACCTCAGGAAGAAAGCCAGGGCCTGCTCCTTGGAGTATGACAGTGCCTCCCCACCCCCACCCTGCTTGTGCCAGGGCCTACCCTCCTTCCTCAGGTGTCAGGACGGTCCCCGCTTGACGGCCTGGGCAGCACAGGGCCTCTCAGCTTGACGTCACCATCACAGCTGGAGCCCACGGTCTTCACTGAGGGATGGGCCCACTTGAAACTCGTTAGGGGCATCATAAGGGCAGGCCCTGCCTTTCTCCTCTCCGTGGCTTCCTCCCAGAGCCTGGCCCGCGCCCCACCCCTAGTTCTCAGTAAGGTTTTAGACACCTGGCGGTCTTTGAGGCAACCTTACAACCTTGCTGAGCCCCTCAGCTGCATACGATGTTGAGGTCCCAAGTGTCACCAGACGTCGGCAGGGCACTTCACGCTCTACAGAACTCTTGTCACACAGCCACTCCTGCCGTCCTCCCAGCAGACCTGAGGTTGATAATGTTTCCCCATTTCACAGTTAATGAAACTGAGACTGTTGTAATCAGGTGTGTCCACAGTCACATAGCTGACCGGTGACAGAGCCAGCCTCTAGTCCCAGTCCTCTGCTTTTCCCCTCCGGTTTTCTTATGCACCTGATCGTTGAACAAAGGCTTGGGCAGCTCTTAGGGGATCCCTGAGCTGGGAGCACAGAAGTGCCAGAGAAAGCAGCTGTCTGGAAGGGCAGTAGTCTCTTCAAGCAGCGCTCCCGCGTGTTGGGTTCTGCACCCCAGGACTGGACTGCTAGGTATCCACTAGTGCAGCAGGGAGCCTTGGAGGAGAGGGTGGTGAGCAGGGTAGGAGCACGCCTGCGGCCGGCTCAAGGAACTCCCTCAGCCTCTGGGAAGGAGGCCAGCCTCTGCTGAGGTTGGGGGAGTCCATGGTTAAAGAAAGGCAGGAGGTGAGAGGTAAAAGTGTGCATTGGTCTCGGGG